TGAATCTCCAAAAAACACATGGTAAAAATGTTCAACCTAATTAGCCACTAGGAATATGCGTTCAAACCACTTCACACACATTAGGATGGCTGTGATAAAAAAGGCAGAACAACAAGTGACAGCAAAGATATGGAGAAATTGGACCCCATACAGATTGATGGTGGGAATTTAAAACAGTGGAGTTCTTTGGAAAACACAGTTACATTTCACCCAGTAATTCCAGTATATACCCGAATGTTATACCTGAAGATTAATCAGAAAACTATGGACTAAGGTGGATCTTAAGCCAACAGAAGCTCTTAGAAAGATGGTCTGGCACCATAAATAGTTCTGCCTGGTAAAGGGGATTAGAGAGGATATATGAAAGAGTTCAAGCAAAACTATGGACACAGGTGCTCATAACAGCATCATTCCTAATAACCAAACAATGGAAACAAAATAAATCTTCAATTGATGAATGAATAAATAATGGAATCTGATTTGGAAGTTATAAAATAAAATATTAAAATGAAAATGTAGTACAATGTAGATGAATCTTGAAAACGGCAAAACAAGCCCATCATAAAAAACATATTGAATGATTTCAGTTTTATGACATTTCTAGAACATGTAAATCTATAGAGACAGAAATAGAGTAGGAGTTGCCAAAAGCTGGGAAAAGAGAACACGGGAGAAGGTATGGGGTTTGTGTTGAAGTCAAGAGAATCTAAATATTCTAAAATTAGATTTTAGTGATGATTGCACAACTCTGAGGATATTCCAAACAACACAGAACTGTACGCTTTACATGGGTGATTAAAATTGTATCTAAATAAAGCTTTTTTAAAAAAACAAAAAAACAACAAAGGGCAGTAGGGTGGGTTTAATCCATAGGCCATTGTTTGAGACAATTTAAGGGGGCATGCAATAAAAAGATCCCGAACAACATGGAATGTGGCCTGATGTAACACCCCAGTCAACCCTTTAGAGGAGCACAATGGCAAGGAGTGCTCATTTCATTGATTCCGCCATGATCTTTCTGATGAAGGAGGAGATTAAAAAATAGCACTGGGGGTGGGGGGGACCAGCAGTTAGTGCAATGGCTATGTCGCTGGACTCCCATGTAGTCGACCGCAGTTCGTGTCCCGAACCCGGTGGCTTAAAACTCACGCTGGGCGCGTGTGCGTGCATGCCCAAGATCCTGGGAGGAGACTGGAGGAGAAGGGATTGCGGCGTGACCATCCCCCCTGGGGGTGATTTCTCACTTTCTGTCTCTCTGTCTCTCTCTGTCTGTCTGGCGAGCGCATGCGCCCTATAGCAAAAACCTCTTCAAAAAAAAAAAAATAGCACTTGGGGCCCAGATGGCTATGTCACTGGACTCCCATGTAGTCAACCACTATTTGCGTCCCGGACCTGATGGCTTAAACTCACACCGGGCGTGTGTGCGTGCGTGCCCAAGATCCTGAGAGGAGAACGGAGGAAGGAGAAGGGATTGCGGCGTGGCCATCCCCCCCTGGGGGGTGATTTCTCGCTTTCTGTCTCTCCGTCTCTGTCTGTCTGGTGAGCGCACATGCCCTATAGCAAAAACCTCTCCAAAAAATAAAAAATAAAAAATAGCACTTGAGCTGTTTAGCTGTTTATGGCAAGTAAATACACAGAATAGTGGGAAAGAACAGAAGGCTAGGGCAAAGGGAAATTTACAAATGAAAGACTAAGAACATTGACAAAAGCCCCAAAGAAAGGCTTCCTCAGCAATCAAGCCTTCACTTACCGCTTCTTCTTCCTTGCTGAGCAGTTTGGCACAGGACAAAAAGTCTTCATACTTTGCATAAGGAATAACTGGTTCTGGAAGTTCTCGAAGATACAGTTTAAGGAGGGATGCCACTGTGTGTACGTCCGTGTTGCTGTGAAGATTGAAGTGAGAAGATACGCTTCTAAGTGAACTTTAGACCATTTTGCTTATTTTTCATCAATACATGTCTTAGAGCTAAATACTATTCTAGTTGGCGATTGAATCACTCCATTGAATTTTCAGGGAGCACCTGCTTATGGAATGCCTATTAGATGCATCGCAGTAGCTCATGGGGGAGAAGGACACAGGCTCCTCAGTGTGGTTGAAATTATTTGGAAATTCACTCATTTTATTTTTCTGTGTTTATTTCATGGTAAGCAAAAGTTTTAATTTTGGAACACAAGAATATAGCCTATCTTAAAAATATATACACAATGCAATTTACAAAAAAAAAACAGACCTACATATGTGTATATTCAGCATCAAAATTAATAATTTCTGAATCCTTACTTCATCTCTGAAAACGTTGGGCTCCTTTTTGAGAAAATACTAGTGATAATTGGTTATCTAATATTCCAAGATAGTTGAAAACCCTTAGAGTCTTTTAGAAAGGGAAGGAAGATGCTATGATATAAACAATTAAAAACTGGGCCAGCAGGTGGTGTGGTGGTTAGGACACTGAACACCCACATAGCTGACCACGGTTTGAATCCAGAACCTGGAAGCTTGCTTTCTCACTTTCCCTCTCTTTCTCTCTCTCTCTGTCTCTCTCTGGTGAGCACATGTGCCCTGCAGCAAATTAAAAAATAATAATAATGATGAATGGAATGAAGTAAACAATAATAAAATAAACAAATGAATAAACAACTTAGCATGTCCCTTACACAACTTACATATTAATGATTTATTTGTATCCTCTGCTGAAGATGAGAGTAGCAGGATAATTTAATGAAATATTAACTTAGATGTTTTCTGTATCCTCCTATGTGTCTATTAACTCACGAAGATAGATGACAGTTAAGTCAGGAAGAGTGTCAGGTTGGTTTTTGTTGTTGTTGTTTTCTTTGGGGAGGGAGTGCATTTTCATGGGTGGGGGTTTGTATTTCAGGGGAGAAAAAGCAGGAGCATGAACAGTTGATTAATTTCCATGAGTTAGGAAGACTGGGAGCAAAAAGTGTGAGGGGGTTCTGTAAGAGGTGAGAACACGCCTCACTCACAGGCTAGGATGCCCCATGTAACAAGTCCCCACAGGAGTAAGCCTCAAAAAAGTTGGGGTGCAAGCACTGGGATTTCCTGCTTCATTGAAAATTCTCTGATCCATGGAAGCAAAGTCAATTTATAAACCTAAATGGGACAATGGGTATGTAAGTTCTCAATTTGAGGCATGTGGGTTGATTTCATCAGTACTTACTGAATACCCACTCTGTACAGGGTAATAAAGAGTTCAGTGGCTAGACCTCAGGGATTAAAAAAGGGGGTGTTATCCTAGCCTGCTCATAACCTATACTCTAGAGGGGCAGCAGATACTAAACCAAAAATAACATAAGTTTGTAATTACAAAATGTAGTGAATGGTAATAAGGAAAGGTACTGCATGCTGTCTAATAACGAGAGTGGACTAGTCCAGGGTTTGCAAGGCTTCTCTGAAGACGTGATGCCTTGGCCAAGGTCTGAAGGATGCCTACAAATGAACTGAGAGCAAAAGGACAGAAGAGGCATTCCTGACTCAAGCAAGGAGGGAAAATAGCCTAAGGTGGGAAAGCTTCATGTCATTGAAGAACTGGCAAAGGCTAGGAAGGCCAGAGCCCAGAGTGGGGCTGGATATGGTTTGAGCAACAGGTGATAGCCTCATGGGCCACAGAACTTCACCTATAGCAGGGCAAAGGCTGAAGTTTTCTGTTTGGATACTCGAGTCCGTCAGAACAGGCATATTGTCAAGCATTCTGCAAATGTTGAAATTCGATGGTGATCTGATAGGGCTTGTTTTAACTAATTTTATTCTTTTCATAATTAAATAATATTTTTACTTTTAAAATTCTGAACTGATTTAGAAGAGGGCACCTTCAAGACTTGTAAGGAAAATAAAAATCATATCTCCAGGATGTTTTGCAAACTACAATTGAGTCATTAACTATGAAAAATAATTTCTAAATCTTTTTAAAGATAGATGTAAAATAGTTTTCATGGGAAGACACTGGTTTTTGCTTTTTGTTTTTGTTGTTGTTTTGTGTTGTTTTCTGGCAAACTAGTCTACTCCATGTGCATCAAAACCTTTGTGTTTCTTGAAGGGACCAGCAGTTAGCGTAATGGCTATGTTGCTGGTCTCCCATGTAGTCGGCCATGGTTTGTGTCCCGGAACTGGTGGCTTAAAACTCACGCCAGGCACGTGTGCACATGTGCCCAAGATCCCCAGAGGAGAATGGAGCAGAGATTGCAGCATGGCCATCCCCCCTGGGGGGTGATTTCTCACTTTCTGTCTCTCTGTCTCTGGTGCGTGCATGCGCCCTATAGCAAAAACCTCTTAAAAACAAAACAAAAAAAAACCTTTGTGTTTCTTGAAGGGACCAGCAGTTAGCGTAATGGCTATGTTGCTGGTCTCCCATGTAGTCGGCCATGGTTTGTGTCCCGGAACTGGTGGCTTAAAACTCACGCCAGGCACGTGTGCACATGTGCCCAAGATCCCCAGAGGAGAATGGAGCAGAGATTGCAGCATGGCCATCCCCCCTGGGGGGTGATTTCTCACTTTCTGTCTCTCTGTCTCTGGTGCGTGCATGCGCCCTATAGCAAACACCTCTTCAAAAAAAAAAAAAACCAAAAACAAAAAACAAAACCCTTTGTGTTTCTCTTGCACATAGATGACCCTTGAAGGTACAGTCATTAGTAGTAAGTGAATGACAGCCTGGTCAGAATGTTCAGGGCAATCAAGTATTACAATAAATTATTCCTGCTTTGTGAGCTCATTCTAATCCGGTCCACCACCGTGGTCGGGTTGAATTTGTTTTTTCAGAATTAATGACAATTTTGTTAAAGCTACAGAAAGGGACAGAGAAAAATATAAAAATAAAATAAAAATAAGTATGTAGTTCAATCTGCACAGTGTATTAGATGTCATCTGTATGATTGTATAAGTGAACATATCAAATATTTATGAATAGCTGCAATAAATAAATGACAGTGATGATAAACAAGAAATGTATACTTTAAAAGGAATTTAGGGTTTCATGGATGAACGGCTCATTACACTGACTCTCCCCAAGCATGCTGTTTTTAAGGTAACTTGCTTGTGAATCCCATCTAATCTTGCTTCTAAGGGAATGGAGCATTTTGCAAGCTCCTGAGTGGAGAACTTTTGAACGCTAGATGGCACAATTGCAAAGTTAGACTCATTGGGATGGTGTGGAAATTGTGCCGGAGGTAAGACTGTTAAAGCATTCTCCCTCTACCAGCAATTTTCTTAGCACCAAAGCTGCAGTAATGTTCCAAGAATAGAAACATTTGAGCTATGAATCGAGGTAAGAGAGGCGGAGTGAAATGATTATTACTTTCTTGAAATGGTATGTTTCGGTACCTTTCTAGCAATATATTAATAGTATATATACACGAGATTAATTATGTAGAAATGATGAAGAAAAATCACATAGATACATATATATGTATTTGTTCAATTAACAAAGGTTATTTTTACTTAAAGGCTAAAATTTTAAAATGTATGACAATTTTGGGGAGCTTTATTAAATTTAGGTTACTTTGCAGAAATAGAGACTTCTGCAGTTTTGCGGCGGAATCAGTTTTGGCTTTGTCTTTTCCCACTGAAAGAAAGAAATCACTTCTGGAAAGACTCCAATGTGTTTGGCAGCTCTAATTCATCTCAAGAGGCTCACAGTCAATTTGTCCAGTGGTCACCAGGAAGTCTGAGGTTTCCCTGGAAAAACTCTTGGAAATTCAAAAGTATCTACAAAGTAGCGACCTTCTGTACCTAACTTTCCTGTCTGATAAATCTTACTGAAAATCCACTACTTTGCTAATTAATATTTACTTTAAAAATAGGCAATCAATTGGTTGTACCCCAGGATTATAAATTAATTGCCAAGTGTTTCTAGAAGAAGGTACCATCTTTGCCTCAGAGAAATACATCTTAGTCTTGGCTAAAATGACGTGAAGTAACCATTGTGGCAAAAATGTATGTGCTGTGGAGAATAAAAATCTCTCACCTGGTTAGTAATAACAATAATATATCCACAAACACCTGGCACTCACTGCAGTCCGAGGAGTAGGCTCTGCTATTTATGCCATTGGGGTTCTTGAACGGGAAATCACAGACAAAAATTCTGTTTGGCTGATTATTGAGATATGAGGGGTGTAAGGGTCAGGCTCTTTGGGTGAAAATTCGAAGCCCTTTCCTAACGTAAAATCTTTGTAAAGACAGACATAAGTCTCTTTCGTTCACCTGGTGGTAGAACCTGTTCAGAAATTAAGATAAATGATGATGCACGTTACTTCCAATGAGAGCAAAACAGCAGACAGAGAGGCCCCAGGAAAAAGGGCTGTGAGACTAAGAGGAGCTCTGCAGCTTATGTGTCTTAACTGACCAGTGTATGTGTTTTGTTTTCACCTCAGATGGGACTTTACTTCTGAATTTTGCTTCCTCCCTTGTCATGGTCTGTTGTAAACTTAGAGGGAGAGGGAGATCAGCAGTTAGTGTAATGGCTATGTCGCTGAACTCCCATGTAGCCAACCATGGTTCGAGTCCTGGACCCAGTGGCTTAAACTCACACCGGGCGCATGTGCGTGCATGCCCATGATCCTGAGAGGAGAATGGAGAAGAAGGGATTGCGGCGTGGTCATCCCCCCTGGGGGGTGATTTCTCGCTTTCTATCTCTCTGTCTCTCTCTGTCTTTCTGGCAAGTGCACACGCCCTATAGCAAAAAAAACCTCTCCAAATAAATAAATAAATAAATAAATAAAAATTAAAAAAACTTAAAGGGAGAGTTCCATGAGGCTTTTTACAGTTAACTTAATTATATACTTTCATGGGTCTTCCTTTGATCATTCTGGAATCAGTCATTGACTCATCCAACTGTTCCTCAACACCTGTGGTATGCCCAACCTCATG